AATTAACAGGCCCAATGAAATTATCAGGCCTAGTGAAATCAGGCAGAGTGAAATTAACAGGCAGAGTGAAATCAGGCTTCCCTGGGAAAGTCTCAATAGGAAGCAACCTGTAGATGAGTCATCTTTGATGGTACCAGGTGTTTCTTAACTCTCAAGTCCTTCCCACCTCCAGAATACCAGAGGAAAAGACAGAAGAGAACTTGGTCACTTCTTGCCTCTCCTCTTATCCTTGCCTTTGCCTTTTCCTTTTGAATCCTTGCTATCAACTTTGTCTTTAGGCATCTTGAAACCACCAATTTCTCTCCGTATCATAGTGCCCCGCCACCAGGCCTGGAGCTGGAAGAGAAAAAGGGAGTGAGTACAACGTATTGTATGCCTGCCTGACAAGCTGCATTCTTTCCACATAAAGGGACTGTTGAATAAAGTAACTTCTGTCTGACAAACAGTCTCTCTCCAGGACATGGAAGTAGCCAGGGATGTAATCACTATAGCGATGCTCTCCTGTTGTGCAGGACCCGGAACTTAAGCTATGGACTCAAGAGTGAAGTTCTCAAGGAGTAAAAATCAAAGGAATCGGATTTGGCCTATTTTTTCTTCACCCTTAGAAATCTGACTTCCTTATACTGCTTTCCTTGAAGAAAGTCCAGGTTCCCCATACCTAACAGCTATTTGAACCAAAAAGAATGTTCGTTACCTGGGCCAAGGGCAAAAGCAAATGGCCAATAACGCACAGATAATGCCAGGTGCAGTGGCTCATGCCTGTAATCCCAGCACCTTAGGAGGCTGAGGTGGGCAGATCACTTTGAGCTCAAGGGTTCAAGACCAGCCTGGGCAACATGACAAGCCCCTATCTCTACAAAAATACAAAAAAGAAAAAAAAAATTAGCCAGGCCTGGTGGCTTGTGCCTATAGTCCCAGCTGTTTGGGAGGCTGAGGCGGGAGGATCTCTTGAGCCCGGGAAGCAGAGGTTGTAGTGAGCAGAGATTACACCACTGTACTCCAGCCTGAGTGACAAAGTGAGATCCTGTCTCAAAAGGGAAAAAAAAGCACAGATAAGTCTAGATGAGTCTTATAGGCTTGTGCATTTCATATCTTTAGTGATTGCTGAAAAGATCAGTTGTCCTAGCACTTTTTAAAAAGATTCAGATAGCTTTCTTGAATATCTTAGTTTTTAAATAACAGTTGTTCTCAATACAGTCTCCACTGCTTTAAAGTCAGACTAAACCCTAAAGACTGGAAGCAAATCCACTAGTGAAAAGAAAGCAAACATGCTCCTCAGCTCGTTCTTAACATGTCTGTTGTAAATTCAGGAATACTGACAAGTTTTATGGGGAAACGCCATTGAAACTGGATTAATTCTTGCTATTTACACATCTGACTCCTTATGGAAAACTCAACTTTGGGTTTGGATACCTGTGCAGAATGTAAATATAAACCTTTTAGTTCACCCCTAATATACAACCCAAACTACGGTTTACCCACTAGGGTCTCAGCCTGCAGAGAGAAGGGCTGTCCTCCAGACAGTTTCCATCCAGCTGATGCTGCTTTAAGTTTTTGCTTACAAGTATTTCACGTGATCTGTGACCTGCCAGTTTCATCATCACTGATACACACAAGTTCATATAAAACTAAAATCTCTCTATTTTTTTCTAACTTGCTGCTTATCCTCCCCACCTAAGCAGCTTGTATCAGAACCCAGCAGATAGTCTGGGCTGATGGATAAGCAGGATTTTAAGAAGTAGGAGATTAAAAGGAATCATTCTGTCAAGAACTGGTTTTGGTTAGACATAGTATTCTTATATTTCGTCTCTGGGCCTAGGTTTTGCTTCCACCGCTAACCACCTCTTTTTCTCCAGATGAAGAGCTGGGGGCACGTCCTTTTCTATGTTAACCGTCTCCCTGCACCATGGACTGTGTCAGCAAATTCTAGTAATAACAAAAGTCCATGCTTCTCAGATTTGCAGTTCCTTGGTATACTGAGATGCGTTTGATAATGAATGAGAAATTCTTTTGTGTTCCTCAGTGTTAGGCCAGCTATGGCGAGATACTGATTATGGTCCTTTACCTTTATGACGCTCTTTAATTCCAAGAGATCCTGTTCTATCTTATTCTTGCTCCTCTCCTTTTCTATACGATCTTCAATGATGACCTGTTCACACTCTCTTATCTGCAAAGATAGACATTCATCATTTATTACAGTACTCTCTTGACTAAGCTGTAGCCCAGCCAGCCCTGCACTTTTAATATAAAATTTCAAAATAAAACATGCTGCATCTAAAGATAAACCAAAGAAAAAAAGTAATAGATTCCTAGATTGTAAATACTCACATACTAACTTTATAATTGTTCCCAAAACTTTTTCAGTTTTAATAATTCAAATTTAAGTTCTGTCTTTCATAAAAAATGAAATACGAATTAATGTGTGATCAATGACCTCAATGTGGATTTTTTTTAAAACTTTGGGAGAATGTAGATATACAGTAGCTGTCTTTTTTGTTTTGAGACAGAGTCTCACTGTGTCACCCAGGCTGGAGCGCAGTGACGCAATCTTGGCTCACTGCAACCTCCGCCTCCCGGTTCAAGTGATTCTCCTGCCTCAGCCTCGTGAGTAGCTGGAATTAGCCGCGTGCCACCATGCATGGCTAATTTTTGTATTTTTAGTAGAGATGGGGTTTTGCCATGTTACCCAGGCTTGTCTCAAACTCCTGATCTCAAGTGATCTGCTTGCCTCGGCCTCCCAAAGTGCTGGGATTACAGGTGTGAACCACCATGCCCAGCAGTAGCTGACTTTTGAAAGAAATTTAGGAAGTTCTGCACTTATTCCATAATGAAACTATAATCACAAACTTGTTAGAAATCATCACTGACTGTCTCCAGAGGTCATAAAGTAAGAATAATCACAGTATCTGTCGCAAGGGGCTGTGCGGGTAGCACCTGGGACACAGTATGCACTATGTGAGTGTTACAGCACCATCTAAAAAGAATCCCCGTGGTTTATAAGCACACCTCTACTTTTGACTCAAAATAGCAATACCCAGCTACTGTAGCTCAGTTGCCACTTCCTCCTCAGTGAGCACCCTAATTCCTTCCTTACCGTCTTTGCCAGGTCTTGAAGGTGTGCTAAGTCACTGGCCTTTGTGGCTTTGAGAGCATTTAGTTCATTCTGTTTCATTTCTGTGTCCTTATCATATTTCTCCATCCAGAACTCTAGCCTCTCCTCAAGTCTCTATTTGGAAAGACACGAAAACATGGCATTCAGCAGACACCAAACACTGTAGACTGTATGATTCCACCTACATAAGTTTCAAGAATAAGCAAAACTTTCCATAGTGAGAGAAGTCAGAACAGTAGTTACTTATCTGGGTGGAGAGTTGGATTTCTGATTGGGAATGGGGTGTGAGGGAGACTTTGGGATGCTGTAACTGTTCTCTCTATCTTTATCCGGGTGGTAGTTACATGAATGTGTATACATAAATGCCCATCAAACTATACACTAAGTACTTACATATTTTACTTGTATGTTAGTCAATTTAAAAATAGAGGGCCAGGCGCGGTGGCTCACACCTGTAATCCCATCACGTTGGGAGGCCGAGGTGGGCGGATCACCTGAGGTCGGGAATTCAAGACCAGCCTGACCAACATGGAGAAGCCCCGTCTCTACTAAAAACACAAAATTAGCCAGGCGTGGTGGCGCATGCCTGTAATCCCAGCTATGTGGGAGGCTGAGGCAGGAGAATCACTTGAACCCAGGAGGCGGAGGTTGCAGTAATCCCAGATTGCGCCATTGCACTCCAGCCTGGG